TGTCCCGGTTCTGTGTGACTGGAGTTTAGGGATCTGAGCAGTTTCACGGATATATTTATTAAAACTGTCATGAAAATATCACTGGGACTCAGATAAAATCATTCTACTGCATTTGTGCCGCCTCAGGTAAGTCTGCTCTTACAGTCTGATGATATTTCATGAATTTATCGAATATAAACTCGACATAAAGGTTACATAAAAACCGAATTCACGACCCATTTGTTAAAAACACACACACACATCTGTATTTAAACCTAAACCTTTTGTTTATTTATAATGTTTTTGTGATATTTGATGATGTAAGTGACCCAATTGAATGACTGAGGGTCCAATTATTAATAGACATTTCAAAATTATATGATAAAGTATGGTGATAAATGTCTGCAATGCCTTTTATCCTTTAATCTGGAAACTGCTTTATAATTTTTGTTTCATTTTGTTGTGTACAAAGTAATAAAAGGTGAAATATTATTGCATTTTTGATTATTTTATATTTATAAAATAAGAAATCAAAAGCGTATTAATATATAAATAGTAGAAATATTAATATTATATGATTGTTTGTATTAGTAGCATAATTATTATTAATGATAATTAAATTAAAGCAGCTTGAATGCATTATTTATTAATGTTATTATTAATACAATAAAACAGCCTTCAACAAGTATTATTATCAATAATTATCATCATCTCATCATCATCAACACATTCAATTAATAACACTTAAATACTTTTTTATTTAATGTGTTAATAATAATACTAGTTTTGAATTAAACTTTAATTAAATACTAATAAACCAATAATAAATCTAAAGTGTAATAATTTATAAAATAGTATAATAAACAAATTAGCAAACATGTATCAAAAAGGTTTTTATATATACATATACAGTTAAATATAAATATTGTTATTAGTAGTATCTATATTATTAGTAAAAAATACATTATAACAGCATTCAAGTGTCTATTATTGTTATTATTAATAAGTAGCCAATTATTATCAATAATTATCATTAGCACAATAAAATAACAATTGCAGATTTTTAAATAATACTAATACTTGATTTTATTAAACATGTAATTAAATAAAAAATAAAAAAAATAAACTTAATGTACACTCATATCACAGTTAATTAAATGAGCAGTGATGTTTAGTATATTTCTGTAGATTATTATGCTGTAGATTTATTATATTATATTATGTATGTGCATTTACATTTAATTAATTATAATAATTGAAAACAAGTATTTTTTGAGTAACACATTAAATAAAAAAATGCTTAGAGTATTATTAATTTAATGTGTTAATGATAATAATAATAGTAATAATAATAATAACAGTCTTCATGTAATAATTACAGTCTTATTATTATTATTATTAATAATAATAATAATAATAAACAGCCTTCTAGTATTATTAATGTAATGTGTTACTGATCATAATAATATTTAAGATGGTCATGTGATCAGTGTGTGTGTTGATGTCAGTTATGATGATGTTTCAGGGAAGATCCGATCATGTCCTCCGTCAACTCGGTCCACTGGTTCCGCAAGGGCCTCCGTCTCCATGACAACCCGGCCCTGCTGGAGGCCCTGCGCGGCGCCCAATCACTGCGCTGCGTTTACTTCCTGGACCCCTGGTTCGCCGGGGCCTCCAACCTGGGCGTCAACAGGTGGCGGTGAGGGACACACACACACACACTCACACACACACTCACACGCATACACACACTCTCACACACACACACACACACACACACACACACACACACACACACACACACACAGTTATTATGAACTGTGATATGGGAGTGTATGTCAATTTTATTTATTTTTTCAGTCAGACACTGTCGTCTGTCAGTGCTCATCAGAGTGAGTGCTGGTGCTGTTCTGCGGAGCGCCCTCTGGTGGCTGTACAGGAGACACACACTGTCACTCAAACATGATGTACTTTGACAGCGGGTGTTTGGGTGTGTGTGATGTGTGTGTCAGTTATGAATGAGTCTCCATCTCTCACTAAACATCAGCATGTGTACACATCTGTGTGTCTGAGAGTGGAGTTAGATTCAGGTATTATGTCGCGGTGTCTAATGACGTCTTATTAACTGGAAAAACAGTGTTATTGTCTGAACAGGCTCATACTCGCTGTGTTTATGTTGTGCTGTCATGGTTTCTGTACGGTGTTTACGTCAAGGAACCGGTTTCCACAGCAATGGCCTACTTTCCTCTCGTTAACACTTCTGTCATTTTGGCCATAACTCGGGTTATGAAAGTGAGAGAGAGAGAGTGTGTGTGTGTGTGAGAGAGAGTGTGTGTGTGTGTGTGTGTGAGAGAGAGAGAGAGAAAGTGTGTGTGTGTGTGTGAGAGAGAGAGAGAGAGAGAGAGAGAGTGTGTGTGTGTGTGTGTGTGTGTGTGTGTGTGTGTGAGAGTGTGTGTGTGTGTGTTTCACCTGCTCAGACTCACTCACACAGATCGATCAGAAACGTTGGGTTGTGTGTTATTGCTAGCGCTGCACGATTAACGTTAATCATATCGCAATCGCGATGTCAAGCCTGCGATTATATGACGCAAAATGCTGCGATTTTATATGAAATAAACAAATTAGGACTGTTAACGCAATTAATGCAGCATCTCTTATCTTCTGTCATCCGTTGGCTAGTGGTCCATGATCCCGCTCTTATTCGTGCGAACGCTTTAAAGTTTAAACCATTCATGCGCGACAAGTCAAAAGAGCCGCGCAGCCTGTGTCCCGGCACGCGCGCCAGTATCAGGCGCATGCGCAGACCGCGCGCCAGAATACAGTTCTCTTTTGCGCGTGAACGAACAACAACACACACAATTATGCCAAAACGTCGTTTGTTGAGTATCTTCATAACATAAGAGCAGTCTTATGATGGACGTGGAGAGCTGTGAGAGAATGAGGCGCGTGTCTGTTAGCAGACGGCTGCTCTTAAAGGGCCAGCAGCCAATAAAGCTCTCTGTCAGTAAAGTTAATCAAAGAACAAAGGGAACAGAGAAAATTACTCACTGCTCCTGACTAAAGAACTTTTGTAGCTTTAATAAGGATTAGTCTATATATAATCTATGCAGCGCAGACTGTTTGATAGCTTTATTCAGTTTCTGTATGTCCTACCTGTTAGACCAGAAAGGCATAGGTAAATATGACTTTTATTATGGGTTTATGTGAGGATTGTTTGAAGTTCACTTAAATTAAAAGCTGTTATATTTTTTGAAGCCTAATAAATGTTTTTTAAAAAATGGATAGCTTTCATTTGTAATGACCGAATCACTGTAATTTTGGATGGCTATAATTAATGTTCAAAATGGGGGGGGTCATTTTTATCCAGATATCAATGGCTTATTGATCATTATAGGTGTTATTAATCATTTAGTTGTTGCTAGTTTGAGTTGAGAAATACACATTTCAGAATTATCACTAATCTGTGTGTGCATTTTGCTTTAGAACCAAGCAAGTTCACTCATGAAACCATTTGTTTATTATACCGCAATCGAAATATTGACCTCAATAATCGCAATATGACATTTTCCCCAAATCGTGCAGCCCTAGTTATTATTCAAGTCCTGTGGTGTGTGTGTTGTTACTCATGTCCTGTGGTGTGTGTGTTGTTACTCATGTCCTGTGGTGTGTGTGTTGTTACTCATGTCCTGTGGTGTGTGTGTTGTTACTCATGTCCTGTGGTGTGTGTGTTGTTACAGGTTTCTGCTGCAGTGTTTGGAGGATCTGGACTCTAGTCTTCGTAAACTCAACTCTCGCCTGTTCGTGATCCGCGGTCAGCCGGCCAACATCTTCCCACGGCTCTTCAAGGTACGGCTCACTCCATCGCTGGCTCCACCGCTAACATTTTGATAAAAAGAGAATTTCTTATTGTTTGTGTGACCCTCATCCTTCCCTCTAGTCATTTTGACCGGTATAAATTGTTTTTTTAAAACAAATTAACAATTGAGTGTTCATCAGAGGGGTCCAAGACCTTGTGAGTTTTGTTGCACTTGAACCACGAATACACAAAAAAAAAAAATTTGAATGGATTTTCAGGAGTTTTATGGTTGAAATTTAAAAAAAGTAACAAATACTTCCGGCCCTCGACTTCCTTAGGAATGACTGGAATGTGAGGAATGCTTCAGTTCACACAGAAAAACCTAAACATGCTCCAAATTCAAACTAAAACTTTACCAAAACATTATTGTATAATGTCTACATGTGTATCTGAATGAATACTGAAGAGAACTGGCTTTAGGACCCAGCGGAACAGCTCATATAAGGCCATCCAGAGTCATGAAATATCACGTTATATTATTTATTTCTCACAAGAGGTCAAAGACTCCCAATGTAGGATATTTAAAGCTGAATTAAAAGTGTTACGCATGATATTGTGAGCTATTTTGACTTCCTGTTGGGCTGGCGTGTAACGAGAGCGAAAGTTGTTCAGCCCGATGAGATTTATATGTGAACCGAGTTTCATATTAATTCATGCAAGCGTGTTTGATATATGGACCAAGTTTTCTGACCCCTATCAAGGGGGCGCTGTTGAGCCCCCCTGCCACGCCTGGGTACCAGCTTCAGCCCGGCCCTGATGGCCGCGGTTCTGACCCGTGTGCAAAGTTTCAAGAGTTTTCGAGCACGTTAAGGGCCCCAAAAGTGCCCGAAAGTTTGACAGAAAAATAATAATAAATATAGCTGCGAGCAGCGATGACGGGCCCAAGCCGGTGGCACCACACCACACCCCCGGTGCCTTTAGTTACCCTAAAAAGATTTTATTATTTTTAGTTATTTTAAAAAGAATGTGAGGAATGTGCTTAAATTACTATTTATTTATTATTTATTTATTAAATTGAAAGGTAAATAAAATTAAAAATAACAAAAAATCTGTAAAAAAAATGTGCATTAAAAAATGGAAAAATATTATCAAAATGAAGTTTTCTGGACAATTTTTTTTTTCTTTAGTTTAATTTTAAGGCTACAGGTCATTTTTAGGGCGAGGGAAGGATGAGGGGTAAACATCTATTAAGAACCCATGTGACGTGTGTGTGTGTGTGACGTGTGTGTGTGTGTGTCAGGAGTGGAAGGTGTCGCGGCTGACGTTCGAGTGCGACTCGGAGCCGTTCGGGAAGGAACGAGACGCTGCCATAAAGAAGCTGGCGTCTGAGGCGGGGGTGGAGGTCATCGTGAAGATCTCACACACACTCTACGACCTCGACCGGTGAGAACCTTAAAGGGAAAATAGCCCATGATTTACTCTCCCTCGAGCCATGCTAGGTGTATATGACACTCTTCTCTCAGACGAACACAATCAGAGTTATATTAAGAAATGTCCTGGCTTTATAATGGCAGTGAATGGCTGTATGTTTTTGAAGTCCATAAAAGTGCATCTTTTCGTCTGAAAGAAGAAATCATGGGCTAATTTTTATTTTTGGGTGAACTATCCCTTTAAACTCACTGCCTAACTGAATGCTGTCGATGAATCGATTCACTTGGTGAATCATCTGGTTCATTTAAATGAGTCGATTGACTGCAGTGACTCATCACTGAATCTGACTGACGCTGTTGTCTGATTGGCTGTCAGGATCATCGAGCTGAACGGCGGTCAGCCTCCGCTAACGTTCAAGCGCTTCCAGACGCTAGCGAGCAGCCTCGAGCCGCCAGAACCCCCGCTGGACCCGCCCACACTGGGGCTGATGGGAAACTGTGTGACGCCCGTCAGCGACGACCACTCGGAGAAATACGGCGTCCCCCTGCTGGAGGAGCTGGGTAATACACACACACATGGACGCACGCACACACACTCAAGCACGCACACACTCACGCACGCACACACTCACGCACGCACACACTCACGCACGCACACACTCACGCACGCACACACTCACGCACACACACACTCACGCACGCACACACTCACGCACGCACACACTCACGCACGCACACACACTCAAGCACGCACACACTCACGCACGCACACACTCACGCACACACACTCACGCACGCACACACACTCACTCACGCACACACACACTCACGCACACACACACACTCACACACACACACACACTCAAGCACGCACGCACACACTCACGCATGGACACACTCACGCACACACACACTCACGCATGCACACACTCACGCACACACACACTCACGCATACACACACTCACGCATACACACACTCACGCATACACACACTCACGCATACACACACACGCATACACACACTCACGCACACACTCGCACACACACACTCAAGCACGCACGCACACACTCACGCATGCACACACTCACGCATGCACACACTCACGCACGCACACACTCACGCACGCACACACTCACGCATGCACACACTCACGCACACACACACTCACGCACACACACACACACACTCACACTCACACACACACACACACTCAAGCACGCACACACACACTCACGCACACACACACTCAAGCACGCACGCACACACTCACGCATGCACACACTCACGCATGCACACACTCGCACACACACACACTCACACTCACACACACACACACACTCAAGCACGCACGCACACACTCACGCATGCACACACTCACGCACACACACACTCACGCATACACACACTCACGCATACACTCACGCATACACACACTCACGCATACACACACTCACGCATACACACACTCACGCACACACTCACACACACACACTCAAGCACGCACGCACACACACACTCAAGCACGCACGCACACACTCACGCATGCACACACTCATGCACACACACATTTACGCACACACACACACTCACACTCACACACACACACACACTCAAGCACGCACGCACACACTCACGCATGCACACACTCACGCACACACACACTCACGCACACACACACTCACGCACACACACACTCACGCATACACACACTCACGCACACACTCACACACACACACACTCAAGCACGCACGCACACACTCACGCATGCACACACTCACGCACACACTCACACACACACACACTCAAGCACGCACGCACACACTCACGCATGCACACACTCACGCACACGCACACACACACACACTCACACTCACACACACACACACACACACTCAAGCACGCACGCACACACTCACGCATGCACACACTCACGCACACACTCACACACACACACACTCAAGCACGCACGCACACACTCACGCATGCACACACTCACGCACACACTCACACACACACACACTCAAGCACGCACGCACACACTCACGCATGCACACACTCACGCACGCACACACTCACGCATGCACACACTCACGCACACACACACACACTCACACTCACACACACACACACACACACTCAAGCACGCACGCACACACTCACGCATGCACACACTCACGCACACACACACTCACGCATACACACACTCACGCACACACACACTCACGCACACACACACTCACGCATACACACACTCACGCACACACTCACGCACGCACACACTCACGCACACACTCACACTCACGCACACACACACACTCACACTCACACACACACACACACACACACACACTCAAGCACGCACGCACACACTCACGCACACACTCACGCACACACACACTCACGCACACACACACACTCACACTCTCACACACACACACACACACACTCAAGCACGCACGCACACACTCACGCATGCACACACTCACGCACACACACAATCACGCATGCACACACTCACGCACACACACACTCACGCATACACACACTCACGCACACACTCACACACACACACACACACACTCACACACACACACACACTCAAGCACGCACGCACACACTCACGCATGCACACACTCACGCACACACACACTCACGCACACCCACACTCACGCATAAACAAACTCACGCACACACTCACACACACACACACACTCAAGCACGCACGCACACACTCACGCATGCACACACTCACGCACACACACACTCACTCACGCATACACACACTCATGCACACACTCACACACACACACACACACTCAAGCACGCACGCACGCACTCAAGCGCGCACACTCACACACACACTCATACACACACTCACACGCACGCACACACACACACTCACGTACGCACACACTCAAGTACACACACACTCACGTACGCACACACTCACGCACACACACACACACACACACACACACACTCACTCAGATCCAGTGTGATCAGAGCAGTGCATAATGGGAGTGTTTGTGTTCAGGGTTCGACACTGAGGGTTTGGCTCCTGCCGTGTGGCCCGGAGGGGAATCAGAGGCTCTGAGACGCATGGACCGACACCTCGGACCCGATTCCACCGCGGTACGACATCACACACACACACACACCTGAACACACACTTATCCGACCCCTAAACCTACCCATCACACACACACTAACCCTAACCCTACCCATCAAACACACACACACACACACATACTAACCCTAGACCTAAATATCCCCCCCTCCCCCTCTCTCTCTCTCTCTCTCTCACACACAGGCGTGGCAGGAGAACTTCGAGCGCCCGAAGCAGAACTCGAGTCCTCTGCTGGCGAGTCCGCTGGGCTTGAGTCCGTACCTGCGCTTCGGCTGCCTGTCCTGCCGCCTGTTCCACTGCAAGCTCACACAGCTCTACAAGAAGGTACACACACTCTCACTTACACACAACACAACACATCTCACTTACACAACTCACACAGCTCTACAAGAAGGTGCACACACTCTCACTTACACACATCACAACACATCTCACTTACACAACTCACACAGCTCTACAAGAAGGTGCACACACTCTCACTTACACACATCACAACACATCTCACTTACACAACTCACACAGCTCTACAAGAAGGTACACACACTCTCACTTACACACAACACAACACATCTCACTTACACAACTCACACAGCTCTACAAGAAGGTGCACACACAAAACTCAACTCTCATTCTGTCATGATAATCTATAAATCGTGTTCTGGGGGCGGGGTTTATGCAAATTTTAGTGTTTGTGATGTCACTAACCCGTGAGGAAGCTCGTGTAGTTCCTACCAGCCGTTTGTTGTAGTCCTTAAAAAGCAGTTTCTGTAAAAGCAAATCTCTCCCTTTGCTCTGAGCTTTGAGTCGTAACTTTGCAGATGTTGTTTACGCTCAAACTGCGACATTACACACTCACTACAGCTAGAGAAGTGACATCATAATCAACCACCGCTTTAATATGGGTCATAATCAACTCTGTGTGTTTACAGGTGAAGAATAACGCAAACCCGTCCATCTCTCTGTACGACAAGCTCTTGTGGAGAGAGTTCTTCTACACGGCCGCCACTAATAACCCGCGCTTCGACCGCGCGGAGGGAAACCCGATCTGCATCCGCATCCCGTGGGACCGCAACCCCGAGGCGCTGGCCAAGTGGGCCGAGGCCCGCACCGGGTTCCCCTGGGTGGACGCCATCATGACCCAGCTGCGGCAGGAGGGCTGGATCCATCACCTGGCCCGACACGCCGTCGCCTGCTTCCTGACCCGGGGAGACCTGTGGATCAGCTGGGAGGAGGGCATGAAGGTGCGGTGAGGGGCATTGTGGGTATCTCCGACTCTAGGGTCATCTCAGAGGGAGTCAAGAACTTTTTTATTCCGCTTAGCTTTTAATAATGTGTTGTAGTTTCGATGTATTGAGTTGAGCTTAAAGGGTTAGTTCACCCAGAAATGAAGTTTCTGTCAGTAATTACTCGCCCTCATGTCGTTCCACACCCGTAAGACCTTCCTTCATCTTCAGAACACATGAAGATATTTATGATGAAATCTGAGAGCTCTCTGTGCCTCCACTGACTGCAACATCATTGCAACTTTCAAGGCCCAGAAAGGTGGGAAAGACATCGTTAAAATAGTCCATGTGACTGCAGTGGCTCAACCTTAATGTTATGAAGCGGCGAGAATACTTTTTGTGCGTTAAAACGACTTTATTCAACAATCTTCTCCTCCATGCGCTTCTCCCGCGCGGTTGGCGTAGTGTAACAGTGCAGCGCTTCTGGGCTCTGCGTCAGAACGCCGGCTCACTATTGGCCGACGCTGGTCATGTGTGTGAGCTAGCCAATAGTGAGCAATAGCACTGTTCATAGGCTTGCATGTTACAGCTGATGCTGGGAGACTTTATGTGTGTTTTATCTTAAACATAAAGTAGCCTGATCCTGTTTGATCAAGGTGTGCCACTGTTCTGACTCGTCCAATTTACAGCATCAATTTTTCATCTCGCATCAAAATCCTGTGCGTTCGAAATATAGAGTTGGGTTCTGTTTTAATGCACCTAAAATAAACAGAGTTTAATATACAGGTTTGTGGCCCTTAATTTATTTTTTATTAATTAATCAATTATGTTCACTGTTCTTTTTATAAATAGGATTTGTATTATATATATATTCATTGAGTCAAATCGGGAATCGAAATAGAATTAAGAGCTTGCGAATCGAAATTGAATCGAATCTAACCCTAACCCAGCGTTTCTCAAAGTGTGGGGCGCGCCCACTGGTGGGGAATAGAAACATGACAAGTGGGGCGCGACAAACGGGAGAAAATGTGGTAATTTTTGTGCCCATCTCTATTAATTCCTTTATTTATTGAGCAAAAACTCAAAATAAAACAACGACACATTTAAATGGAAGCCTTACTTAACCTTTGCACACGTAAGTTTAAAAGTTTTTAGAGGCGCCCGTTATTTAGATCATATCCCTTTATGGTTTCCATGGTGACGCGTCATTGCAGTCACACCGCAGCCACAATAGCGCTGAATGACTGATTATCTGCTTTTATTTCACAAATTTGTTGGCTATAGCAGGAAATATCTGATATTCCGATTGTCAAATATGAGCAAGTGGATGTGTTTTGTTGTTTAAACACCTTAGTTGAGCTATACGCGATGGGCGTTAGTTTATACCGGATTTTAGAGAATCGGATCTGTTGGATTTAACAAACGTCAATTTATCCACTTCTCCCGAAATGAAAGTAGAGAAGCATAGAGTAAACTTGAAAGTTACTTACACGATGTGTATTTGATATGAATAATACGTGTCATCTAATTATAATGGAAATAATTATTATTCCCGCTTCCATAGACATAAGTGTGTATTTGACAAACTCTAAATGTATTGCTTTTTTTACTAACTTACGTATGTGAATTTAAATGTCTGAAACCTAAAATAAACATTATGTGGCTGAAAACACTGAATAGTTGTGATGTCAAGCGGTGAGCGCTCTCCGTCTCTGGTTCAGAAAATATGTGTTTTCAAACAGAAAGGGTGTAGTCAAAAAAACATGAAGTACATGAAAGTTCATGTTCAGAAAATATGTGTAGCCTACTAAAAAACAGGCTCATTGCAGACATTAAATTAGTTAAATCACTTAATTTTGAACTTTCAATATGCACCATATTTATGAATTTATCTTTAAAACGTACAAACTTTTCTTCCGGGGAGCATGCCCCCGGACCCCCCCTAGGGTTGCAGAGGTCCACATCACACACAAAATACTGTGGGAAACACAGTATCTACTGTCATGTTTATGTTTTTAAAATGTCATGTTAATAAAATACATTTTAACTTAAAGCCTTATTAACATTTTGTTGGGCCGATTGCATGAGGACAGGTGGGGCACGAACCCTTCCCTACCTTCAAAGTGGGGAATGGCAGAAAAAGTTTGAGAAACACTGCCCTAACCCATCTGAATCGATACCCAGCTCTAATAATAAGCAATACGCCACCGTAGATTTGTACCCACATTTAGCGAGTTAGCGGGTGTTTTCGCCAGCACCTGACCAATTAACACTAGCACTCACCTTTTCTATTTGTTATGTTTTTCTGAAGAAAAAAAGTTCTGTGCTAGACTAACTGAGACTTGTTACGCACTGTTGCCCTCTGCTGGTCTGATGGCTTCTGTTCGCTTTGGATAAAAGCGTCTGCTAAATGAGTCCATGCAGATGTAAAAGCCCTGCTGGTGTGTGTGTGTAATTGCGCTACGGTGTTGTGGCAGGTGTTCGAGGAGCTTCTGCTGGACGCGGACTGGAGTGTGAACGCGGGCAGCTGGCTCTGCCACTCCTGCAGCTCCTTCTTCCAGCAGTTCTTCCACTGCTACTGTCCCGTGGGATTCGGCCGGAGGATCGACCCCAACGGAGACTTCATCAGGTGGGAACACACACCGCTGCACGCACTGCAAAAAATGCTTTTCCTACTTAGCATTTTTGTCTTGTTTCCAGTCCAAATATCTAAGAAATCTTAGATCAAGATGCATTTACTAGATGAGTAAAATGCCATAAGATATTATGTCTTGTTTTCTGGGGGGGAAACCTAAATTAAGTGAGTTTTTGCTTAAAAAAACTAAATTATCTGCCAATGGGGTAAGAAAAATAATCTGAATTCAAACAGAAACAAAATTATTTTTCTTATCCCTGATTTATTTCAGATTCACACTAAAAAGAGCTGAGTCAGTTCAGATTCACACCCAGAAGAGTTGATTCAGATCAGATTCACACTCAAAGGAGCTGATTCAGTTCAGATTCACACTCAAAAGAGCTGATTCAGATCAGATTCACACTAAAAAGAACTGATTCAGATTAGATTCACACCAAAAAGAACTGAGTCAGATCAGATTCGCACTCAAAAGAACTGATTCAGATCAGATTCACACTAAAAATAACTGATTCAGTTCAGATTCACACTCAAATGAGCTGATTCAGTTCAGATTCACACTTCAAAAGAACTGATTCAGGTCAGATTCACACTCAAAAGAACTGATTCAGATCAGATTCACACTCAGAAGAACTGATTCAGATCAGATTCATACTAAAAAGAACTGATTCAGTTCAGATTCACACTCAAATGAGCTGATTCAGTTCAGATTCACACTTCAAAAGAACTGATTCAGGTCAGATTCACACTCAAAGGAGCTGATTCAGTTCAGATTCACACTTCAAAAGAACTGATTCAGTTCAGATTCACACTCAAAGGAGCTGATTCAGTTCAGATTCACACTCAAAATAACTGATTCAGTTCAGATTCACACTCAAAGGAGCTGATTCAGTTCAGATTCACACTCAAAAGAACTGATTCAGATCAGATTCACACTCAAAGGAGCTGATTCAGTTCAGATTCACACTTCAAAAGAACTGATTCAGTTCAGATTCACACTCAAAGGAGCTGATTCAGTTCAGATTCACACTCAAAATAACTGATTCAGTTCAGATTCACACTCAAAGGAGCTGATTCAGTTCAGATTCACACTCAAAAGAACTGATTCAGTTCAGATTCACACTCAAAAGAGCTGATTCAGATCAGATTCACACTCAAAGGAGCTGATTCAGTTCAGATTCACACTCAAAAGAGTTCAGTTCTGAATTCTGCTGAAGCCTCAGTTTTATCTCTTGACGTCTATATGTTTGTGTGCGTCTGGTTTTGTGGAGGTCGTGATGTTAATCTCTCCCTTTGATTCCAGACGTTACTTACCTGTCCTCCGAGATTTTCCAGCCAAGTATATCTACGACCCCTGGAACGCGCCGGAAGACGTGCAGCTCGCCGCTAAATGCGTGATCGGCGTGGACTATCCCAAACCGATGGTGAACCACGCGGAGGCCAGTCGCCTGAACATCGAGAGGATGAGGCAGATCTACCAGCAGCTCTCCAGATACCGCGGACTCAGTAAGAGCACATCCAGCCTCACCGTTTACCAACTTCTACATTTTCTCCTTTTTTTAAAGGTGCAGTGTGTAATTTTTAGCGGCATCTAGTGGTGAGGTTGCGAATTGCACCCAACTGAAGTTACAGTGGCCGTCAGGAAGTGATGTCGTCATCCGAGACAACAGAGAGTAGCCAGTTAAACAATGAGGTTTCTTTACAAAGATAAATTAAGAAATTATGTTTACATAATTATTCAGTAAAACGATGTTATTGCGAATATTATTGTCACTTGTTCATCATTGTGTCAGTGTTTTACTCACTGACTTTAGCAGCTTCTTTACACGAAGAACAACATAGTGACGAAACGCGTTTGTCCGCTCAGGGCCACCGTAGAAACATGTGGATGTGACCCGCGGTGTGTGTAGAGAGAAATGCTCATTCTAAGCTAATAAAAACATAACGGCTCATTGTGTAAGGTCTTTATACACCACTGGAAACATAGTAATGTATATGATATTGCATTTCTGTCAACAGATCCTCCTAAATATTACACAATGCACCTTTAAATTTAAATAATATATATATATATATATATATATATATTTTTTATTATTAAAGCATAACATAGAACATAACCCAGTTAGACGTAACCATCAATACAAAACACATAAAACAGAAAGTAGGATGTACGTGTAATTATGTGAAGTTGTGTGTGTAAAATTGTGTTGAGTATTAAGGTGGTATTGGCTCTGATCGCTCCTTCTCGTTTTCTTTCACCCGTCAGGTCTTCTCGCCGCGGTTCCGTCCAACAACACGGAGGACGTGGGTGTAAACGACGCCCGAGGGGCAACAGCGCCCCCTGAGTGCCGGAGGATGCCGAGCAGCGCGCCGACTCAACGTGAGTGTTTACAACTCGACGTCATAATCACATCAGTGTGTTTGAGCTAACATCAGTGCGCTGTAATGCTCTGTGTGTCCAGCAGGGGTCGGGAGAGAGCAGACCGGCCCGAAACACCGTCCCTCCAGATACCGACACGCCCTCGGTGAGTCCAGCAACAAGTCCTTTGGTTTATTCGATGACCTTTTGTGAAGGTTTGCTGCAAATGTGTTTGTGTTTGTCTCCTGCAGGCCACCGTACATCGCCCTACACGAACCACGGCCACGAGTTCGCCGTCCCACAACAACCAGGTAAAAAACACGTGCATGAAAATATGTAATGTTTTGGAACTTTAATGGTTTGCGAATAAACTTTGATGTTGATTTGCTTTAGGGCGCTCGAGTTGGCCGGTCGGGGGCGGGACTGGAAAGAGGGAAAGGGAGGCGGAGCTTAACGGTTGCCTTGGTGATAATGGCCCCTCCTCCTCAGCGCAACTGAAAGATTATGAGGTTCGTCAGAGTTTAAAACGAATAATGTTTTGCTAACTTAACATAGTTGAAACGCTCAGCTCTATTTAACGATATAAATTCCTGTTTTTTTTCTCCAGAAGAGGCGGGAAGACGCAGGGGGCGTGGCCTTCTCTTCCTAAGCCCCACCCACTGACGGATTCGCAAGAAATGTATCGTAAATTTCCCTCGCGTGTTAAGCACAAACATTCGGAGTAATTAAAAAACGATTAAACGGCTGATCCAGTCAGATTGTGGCCTAGAACTAATTTTAACTTTTAAAAAAAGGCAAAATTATAATGTTTATTTATTATTCCGAGTATTGATTTTAAAAATCAGATGTAAATACTGTCGTGACCTTTCACACCAAAACGCTATATGAACGGTCTTGTTCGCTAGAGTCGAAACAAATGTTCGTCTAAATGTTTTGATAGCTCTGGATTTATATTGTACTTGACGAACACGTGAACCAAATTCTTATTGGTCGAACCTTATTGGTCGACACATTTTTGTCGCCAAATGAGAAACACGTTTTCATCGTTTTTATTTAAAAGCACATTCTATTCACGCCACATTTAGACGGATCCAGATTCACTAAGTATTACCGAAGAACCGGCCTCACCTGTACATACCTGCGCCTGTTTCCATGGCGATGTGAGTCACATGATCGATGCGAGTCACATGGTCCCGGGGTCCAACACGTTTGGGTCCAAACTACTTGTAACTGTATGACAAATGAAGGATTGTCTGTAGCAACGACTCTCTTTTGTTTAGATTGTCGTTGAAGATGAAAAACGTTTGTTCTAATAACGTTTAAGTGTTTTTTGCACAGTTTACGTCATCGATCTTCCATCGCTCGTTGTACATTATTGTCACCTGTTGTTTTCATCCATGTTTCCATCTCCACGTCCTCCAGCATTTTGTATATGACAGCAGTATCTTATGTAGCAGTACATTTTTACTGCCGGTGTTTTTCTACAGAATATTCATAGCTGTTTTGAATTTTAAATATATATATATATATATATATATATATATATACAGTACATGTATATCGTACCAGCATTTGTTTCTTAGTCTGCGTGTGGTACTTCATTATTCAGCTAATAAAAAATATTTTAACACAAATTGAGCGTTGTGTGTCTCTTATTGTCTAGATTTTGATAGTTTTTTTATTATTAGACTTTATTGTCCACCTTGGTGGAAATTTGTCTTCGACTTCTCCAAACATATATGCATCAGTGACACAACAGTTTTCCATCTCGTAAAGAGTTAGCTGCTAGCATGTCGGATCGTACATCGAACATTCTTCAACTTAAATATACAAGTTAAGTGATTACTTTATGTTTTGGCCGTGTGACTGAGACTGAGCTGACTGCAGTGATATAAAGGTAAGACGAAAGGTTTAATCATTTCTGTGTTCAGTTAGCGTAAGATAAATGTTGTCAATTTTATGGCTGACAACCAAATAATCGGCTAGCATTGCCTGATAAAGTTACTACATAAATTTTAGTTAGTAACAAAACTGATTAGCCAGCTAAGCTATCGCAAAGTGTTCAAGTTACTACATAAGTTTCAGTTTGCAAGGTCACCGATTAGCCTGCTAACCTATCACAACGTGTTTGTTACTACATACATTTTAGTTGGTAAGATAACTGATTAGCATGCTAAGCTATCAAAACGTGTTCAAATTACTACATACATTTTAGTAAGCAAGGTCACTGATTAGCCTGCTAACCTATCATGTTCAATATAGTACATTTTTGTTAGTAACGTAACTGATTAGCATGCTAAGCTATCAAAACGTGTTCAAATTACTACATACATTTTAGTAAGCAAGGTCACTGATTAGCCTGCTAACCTATCATGTTCAATATAGTACATTTTCGTTAGTAACGTAACTGATTAGCATGCTAAGCTATCAAAACTTGTTCAAGTTACTACATAAATTTCAGTTAGCAAGCTCACCGATTAGCCTGCTAACCTATCACAACGTGTTTGTTACTACATACATTTTAGTTGGTAAGATAACTGATTAGCATGCTAAGCTATCAAAACGTGTTCAAATTACTACATACATTTTAGTAAGCAAGTTCACTGATTAGCCTGCTAACCTATCATGTTCAATATAGTACATTTTCGTTAGTAACGTAACTGATTAGCATGCTAAGCTATCAAAACTGTTCAAGTTACTACATAAATTTCAGTTAGCAAGTTCACCGATTAGCCTGCTAACCTATCACGTGTTTGTTACTACATACATTTTATTTGGTAAGATAACTGATTAGCATGCTAAGCTATCAAAACGTGTTCAAGTTACTACATACATTTTAGTAAGCAAGTTCACTGATTAGCCTGCTAACCTATCACATGTACAATATAGTACATTTTTGTTAGTAACGTAACTGATTAGCATGCTAAGCTATCACGTGTTCAAATTACT